TCATTCATTTCCATCTTCACACGTACCTTATAAATCTTTATCTTCCGAAGAGCATACACACGCGCGGAATCCAGGCGCAGCGATGCAATGATCATCTTCAATAATGGATAGTGCAAGAAACAACATTCTCTGTGCAATGTAATGTTCGATAATTATACCGAGGTTTCGTATCAATGTTCCAATAATCGATCGCTTCGTGTTTACAGGCGGTTGTTTCACGTGGCATTATATTAAATCGGAATTTCGATATTAATGTGGATACCTCGATATTACAATACTATCAGTGCGTAACAATCTCGAAAATTATTTATACCTCGCGGCTTACGGGATACACGAAAAAAGAAAGCAGAACAAAACCGCCGCATTGTTATGTTATATCCATATATCGGATGAGACATGCAACGCTATGTACGCAATCATATCGACCTGCATTCCGAATGCACGCGAACGCGACATGCTCGCACAACAAAACGGTTTCTACGTGCCCCCAGTAGAGTTACATTCCGCAGCGATTTTGTTTCCCCCTTTTGCCGCAAACAATTCCCCTGATTCGACCAGTTCGAATTGTGGGTTTTAAAATTTCGAAAAAACAAACGGAACAATCGCGTACACGATCTAAAGAGGGTGGGCGGAGGGTATGAAGAACGCGATTTCTATGCACCGGACACAAAGAAAAAACAAACGGCTAAAAGCTTGCGTTGTGTTGCCCACACTAGCGCAAAACTTTCCGAAGTAATCAGAAACATGGAAAGAGACCGCTACGTTACACTCGCATTTACGCGAGTTTCAAACTCCACCAACCCCTCGGAAACCCCCGCCACCCTTCCGTTATATCGTCGTCGTCTACGACTAAAGTCTAAGAACGAAAACACATCTCTGGATTTGAGTTCTCGTAGCTGTGACGCGGTGTTCGTATGAATTATTAGTCAAACTTGTACGTATGTACGAAGAGATACTTTTAATTCATTCTGAATTTTAATGGGAAAGAAGAACGTTCGTCCGACTGTACATACACCGGGATCCGTTTGATTTAAGAAAGATTTCGAGAAGCAAAGAGGATGAAGGAAACCCGAGGGGGAAATGTTATAGCGGTATACGTATAATATTCATGTAGAAACGGAATACAGCGCAAACTCGAAATGTATGCCGGATGAAACAGCTATCAGGCCACTAGCCCGAAATTGTTGACAGTAATTAAGCGTGCTATGCTCGACTGAAATAGAAGCTCCGAAGTCACCAAACTTCGTTTGAGAGTTCGTTAAGGAAGTTAGCTGCTTTCGTATGGCAGCGGATAACCAAACTCACGTAACGACTCTTAACGCGATGGTCCTCCGCATAACGAACGCAAAATTCTCGACTGGAAGAACACGTATCCCGCGACGATGTTCGCAATTTGTTGCACGCGACATCTGACACACGTTATGCGTCAGAAACCGTACGATTAGTCGTGCTCGCGAGTTTCGTCTAAAATTACTTAAGTTTTCCCGAAGTCGAGACCTGGTCGGAATCGTTGTTAAGTGTTACACACCAGGGCAGTTTGGAAATTACGAGCTACCGTGATTTGCAACGTAATCTTTTCGAGTTTGCGCAACGCGTGCAGCGTGTAACATATGTGTGTTTATACGAATTTGTAATTACTAGATTACCGATCTTGCTGCAAATATAGATTTTCCTGGACACATTTTGTGATTACACAAGAGTTTATCCACTTTATCAATGGTGATAACAAGTTTAAAGTAAAATAAAAACGTCACCGAACTGCATTGTGCATGGGAACTGCAGCCTAGTAATTATCAAACAAATTAATTACTTTGTAACGCGTTATATAAACAAAAGCAAGCATATGAGGTAAAAGGACTGAAACGATAATTATAGCTTGAAATTTCAAACCTCATTAATTACTGTACTACTTTAAATACAAACCTACATTTAATAAAGTAAATAATTAATAGCACGTGCAGTTCAACGGTATATTTAATGCGCATGTGTTATTTGATTCCAAATCTACATCAAGTATGAAGAACATTTGCCTTCGATAAATAAACAAAATTATATAAATAGTGAAATAGTTATAAAACAACCGGTAAAGCATGTAATGCGGTAAAAAATGTTTATGGTATAATTTTTAAATTGTCTCGAGTGTAGTTATAGATCACGAACGACTACTGATGCGCCATCTGTTACCGACGCGTTATACCCGACGTTACCAATGGAGCACAAATTCTCGTTGTTATCATTATTATTTATTACCTGCGCCAATACAATTTGGCGGGAACAAACATACACGCTTGCTTTGGTTTAAAAGATGAATATAACAATCACGCTGCTGACTATAATACTCGGTGTACTAGTACTTTATGAAATCTTACTATTCATTTTCATAAACTGTACTAGACGACTGTATCAGAATGACAATATCGAAACGACAACATTGAAGTTATTCTACCAATGCAAATGAATAACACAATCCTACGTTCTCGATTAATAAATAATTACTAATTGTTTACACAATAGGATTTTGGATCCCAAAATATCAGAGATCAATATTGCATGTTAAATTATGCAATATAAGTTCATAGAAGTAATGAAATGTAAAGACACTTACAGTCTTGGCTGGTGGAGCTTCGCCCGAGAACATCCTCTGCAATAGTCATTGATACAGCGTCTGATGAATCTGAAAAAACGGAACAAAAATCGTTATAACCTCTGCTCCAAATTCTAGCTGTTTCAATGGAATTGTGAAAGTAATAAAATATAATGATACTTACAATCTCAGTGAGTAGAGCTTCGCCCAAAAGTATCCTTTTCAATGATGCACTGACTCTATTTTCGCGACTCAAAAAGCAAAACGTGTCCCGACACTCTGAAAGTAACTTGTAATACGCAATACACAAACACTGACTCTACTTTCCCGAGATCTTAACACCTCCGTTGAGATTCTACGATGTCTATGATCTAAATGTTCTACGATGTAACCAGCGTCTTAGGCTATCTTCGACTGGTCGTGATTGGTTGATTCGGCTGTTTTATATACGGGGTTTGTAACTGGTGTATCGGTGAGTGAGGTTAGCTCCCCTCCCCGCCACACATTTGAACGGTATAGAATATTCAGCACCATACTACGCTTCCATATAACCTTTTTCTTATGTTTATCTGCGCTTAGCTCAACGAGCAGTGACCCTTGTAAACTAGAAAAACAGGCCGACCGGGAAAATTTCCCAAGAATGTCGTTTCACAACAATCCCTTGGTTGTAAACAATGTCAGAGCCATGTTTCGTACATCTGGTTGCCCAACTTTCGAAGACTAGTATTCCAGTTTATTCCACAAGTAATAAAAGAATTATGTTACGTATATACCACACTCTATCCTCGAAAATGTGTCATTCCAATTCGTTTTAGCGGACCGCATTGATGTACAATGCCTCGTGGTATGTTCGCTGTCCGTCTTGAAGTTTTGAAACATGCAATGCTATCCAGAGCGCCATCTATGGTACATACTTCCCGCCAATTTGGCAGTAGTGACAAAGTTTATGAAATATCTCGCAGATGTTAATTCTTAAATAATGCTTCCAATTAATTCACAACAAATAATTCAACAAACAATGCTTTAACAAATTAATTCACAAATAATGCTTCCCTTCGTTGAGGATATAAAGAAACTAAGATTTGGCAATACATACTGTAGAAGTTTGGCTACCTGAGACTACCTCGACTTGGGTCGAATATACCTCCCGAATTCAAGGTTTTTATAACGTAGAGGCCGTTAAAATCACAGACTTTTCAGGTGCCGGTACTACAGATTCCTTGGGCCACAAAGTCCCGTAAGATGATAAAATCTATTCTTGTGCCTCGTTTCTGTGTCGCCACTCGAAGGGCATCCTTACTTCTCGCAGGTAATCGGCCGTTTCCGTGAGTCTCCGCGAGATGTCGGGGGGATCGAGCGAAGGTAACATGGCCGCCCAGTACTAACACCGCTATGGCGAGTTTCTTGTCAGTTTCTTAATTATTGCCTTTTTTATACATTTTACACTAGTTTTTCTAAGATCAGTGCATAGTACAGAGATAGAGTGTACGTTGGTCTACGATGTAACGACAGGGGGCGGATGTTAACGTTCGATTGGAGTCTGTGAACACGAAAATCGTGGTAAGTGTTTTGGCTCTCCCGTGCGTAATCGTTTGTTCTGCATTTCTACCGTCACCTTCCAAACAAGGAGCCAATCAATTTGTTTACATTGTGCACCGAATTAATCGTGCATCGTCGACGGAACAATAAACGTTGTAATTTGTCGGTTCGGTCGAAATACGGCAACGAGGCTTGTAAGAAACATTCGTAGGGAAGCATGCGTCGCGTGTCATTTGACCGCGTCAGTACATATAACCTCTCCTACCTCGACACGCTTGTCTTCTGCGTTTCGAGCTTAAGCTCCTCCTTCCGTTGTTTTTCCTACCCTGTGCCGTTTAACTTTCCCCTTTTGATACTCGTACTGCTTCGTCAATATTCTCATCATTCTTATATTGTTCGTGTTTTTGATGTCAATTGCCCTCTGTTTTTCTTCGTTCCGCGAACTTCCCGAAAGGAAAAGTATCGATTTTCTGAAGATTCAAAATAGTTCCGCCGTTTAACGTAAACTCGTGCGTCCATAATACGATCCGTTAAATTAACGTTCGTAATAAAAAATCTGCGACACGAAAATACTCAAAAGTGGTCTCGTTTTTTTTTAATATTTGTACTTGCGAATTCTAATCGCGAACTACCGGTCTTGTTTTATAATTGCTTGATTGTTCACGGTGTATCTGTGAAGATTAACGGATCTACGTTTAGCAATGATAAGGATACAAGGGTATAGATTATAAGTACAAAATATGTTCATGTTTTACCAGAAATTTAATGTTGTTTTATATGTTTGTTTACAGAACGAGCTTAAAGGGATCGACATTGAGAGAAACACAGGTGCGTACCGACGCAGCCGTCCCAAGAGGGAATGCGCGAAAACATTCAGACACAGTTTGCAGACAAACGTATGTTTATTTTCTGTTACCTTTTTCATTTGTTTTTTTTTTTCGCTTTTGTATTCGGTAACACGCACGCCATGAATGGCCAATTCACGTGCTCCATTCTGTAGTATACGTGACCTTCGAAGAATGCTTCTATCCCTCGTTATTTTCTTCTTTTTAGTACATTTACGTTTTGTTAAAAAGTAACTTCATTTCTTTATAAGACCTTAGTCTTTTTTCCACAAATTACCAATAAATATTCCTTACGTTTCTTTTCTTGCATTGGATATCGTCATTAATTATTACAGGCGTTATTCTCGGTAGAACGTATTTTATAGTCCCACTCGGTAAAGATGAAAATGATATATGTTCAAAATTCTATTATAGTTTTCATCTTGTTATATTTTATTCTATTGTATTTGCTATGAACTTATTATTGTTTCATCGTTTCATGCGCGCGATGTTACCGAATATTCATTCAGTTTTTTCGTCGTACTCTAATTTTTACGTGCAGACACAGTAGAACTTCCATAGATTAATTTGTTTATTATTTGAATAAAAAAATATTAGAGTTTAAAACAATTCGATTAATTTGTTGAATATTACTTTTTTGAAAAGCCGTATCATCTAAACGCCTTCCTGTAATCATTTAATATATTTTTGTTTTTAATTTTGGGTAGTACAGCTTAGATTTTCGTTTTTCCTTAACGCATGCAGCAGACTTATACGGTTAATAATTTCTTAAATAATTTTAGCATAGTTATACCTGTATCATTTTTACAACACTGCTTTATGTGGAGTATTAAGATTTTAAGGACCCACGCCTATAAATTCCTAAAGTGCCATCACCTAGTATTCTTGCCCATCCTTAAATGCCAAAAATTGATTGTTTCAATTTTTCTTTGACCATCGTACGTGAGCTCTTACAATAATAGCATATTTTCTGGTAAATCTGTTAGTTTTAAGAGTTCATATCACGAGTGAATATTTACAATACCTATGTGCCCCTTATTCTTGAGCAGTGCGATCTATTATTTCTATCTATTTCCACGGACATAATTAAATTTTACCGATGAATTCCAGTGATTACTTGAATCAACGAGAATAATATATTAAAGTTGGACCTACATGTGGTTCCGTGATTTTATTTGTGTGGTGTTTTCAGTAATAAAATATTTTGCGAGGATTAAGGCGAATGTAAGAACTAATTCAAAAAAATATCACAGGGGGTAGAAATTTACGTTTCGTTTCTTACCGACTGTTTTTTAACCCTTCTATTTTATCAACGTTCGAAATGTTAGGAAAAGCAAGGTAAGTCCGTTTACCGACATTTCGGGAATGCTTACCGACGATCCCGACACTGAGTTGCCGACCGTAGCATTCCCAGTCGTGGATAGTCGATTCGCTCCTTTACCGACAGCAAATTCGAGTCACGGCCTCTCAAACCGTGCATGGATCACAGTGGGATATCATTCGTTGCACCTGATGATACGTTTATCTTCAAACAAAACCCGTACCAACGGATGAAACTCTAGGAATGTCGTGAGAAACGAATTATTCATCGATAGCGTAGAGAACTGGTATAACAAGGAAAAGGATTCTTAATTAGGGTGGCAACGTACACAGAATAACAGTGTAAATTGTAAAACGGATATGCTTACTCTTGTATTAATTTATCCGATTAAATAGTGAGCTTATTCTTCGTGTACTTACCTTTACATGTTTCGATTACGAACGTGGTGTGTATAGATTATTAATCGGTCTATTTGCGAAAGGTTTTGTGTTGATTTCTCGATACAATCTATAGATTTTACTCGAACGCGATAGAATGAGAAACAATCGGACCAGTACCTGGAAACTGAAAAGAGAGACCGTTGTTCCGTCGACTAATCAGATTTTCCACGTACTGAGAACACTGTTCCCATAACAGTGTATAACAGGGCTGCACGAACACTGCTTTGTGTAGCGAAAAACGGGGTTGACACTTATGTTCGCCAGCCTATGTACCGCTCGAGAGAGATAGAAAGAGAGTGTGAGAGAAAATGCAAGGTAGAAAAGCGCGAATCAAAGCCAAGGCGGTTTGACTCGTGGCTGGATCGTGTACGTTCACACGCGAGCAAACTTCCGATCACGCGCGTTCACATATTATTTTTAATCGCTCGATATCGTGTCCGAATGCCCGCACGGGCTTCGAGCGTCCGTAATTGGATTACAGTTCTTTTTACTCCCTTATACATAGACATCCATCCCATTACCCACCCTCGCCGTGTCACGCTCGAATTCAGACATCGGTTTCGTTAATTTCGTCCCATTTCCTTTATACTCCTGCAGGAGATGTTTTCGTCGGATCGATAGACCCTCGACACACGTCCTGATGTTTTTATCGGTGTTCTCTATGTAATAAAATAGTTTTTCCCACTTTGCCAATCCTGTTAACACTTTCTCTTGCTCTCGATTAGCCGACAACTACTATAGATATGTACATCCATGTATCGAGATTATTCACTGCGGTTTTATTCTGTTTCAAATGCAAAAGCCGTTCTCATTCTGATAGTTTTTTACGTACAACACGGACATACTTTACTTCACGATCGATATCGTATGTAATGGATGTAAAAAAGTATTTAATGTACCGCGTGCTCTGTCGTGAAAAATATATTCGCCCCACAGCGTACACACGCTATTAAAGTATTTCTGGCTGCAAGGGTTGGAGGGGCGTTAGAGGATACCCACGCGAGAAGGAAAATGGGAATGGAATATATCGGGGACGATGAAATTAATAGTACGGTGATATATATTTCAAGAGAATTTCTTGGATGTGCTTGATAGAGAGATACTCGTTTAGCCGCGAGGTGCTCGCGTTCTTCTTATTGCTGGAATTCGTCCACAATGTAGGAAGCGAGAGAGAAAGAGCGAGTCCATGGGCTGCGGAGGTAAAAAAGAACAGCAAAGGGTGAAAAGTAACTGACCGCAAAAGCGACGGTAAGCTTTTTTATTTCTTCTCCAACCTCTTTTTTTTTTTTTTTTTTTTTGCGGAGACCCCATTCGTTCATTAGACTCGAGCCGTCCGACGCGTTCGCCGACCGAAGCTGCACTTCCCTCGGCTTCCTCTAACCGCATCCTACAATCTTTCCTTTTTCTTCCATTCGTCCATCTTCCGTTCCTCCTGCAACGCTATCTGATATCTCATAGAGCACTCCGCGTTCCATCGTGTTTTATGAAATGCGCCACGGCTTTCGCGGTCTCGCTCCCTTGGTCTCCCGGTTGGGAAGCTGAAAAAGAATTAAAGCCTGTTACGCGGGACGAGCGTTTTAAGAACAAGATCTCGGATTAGGATCGAATTATGACGACGAAGACGACGAGCGTTGTGGAAACACGACAACAAACGAGATTTTAAAGCTACCCCCGGATTGTTTGCTGGGATACATCGTGGAACACGCGCGATTTAAAACGAGCAACAACGTGGCGAGAGGGAAAAAGCACGGGGATAGAGAGGCGCGCAGAGAAAACGAAAGATTGTCGAGCACAGGAACTGAAGTTACGGTGAAGTTGTGGTGGTTTAATGACTTTAATCACCCAGCGATTACGTCGGCCGCAGTCACGGCGGTTTCACAGGCGATAAATAAACCGTGGGACGAGTAGTAGGGGGCACAACATGCGACGGTGTTTTTTCGCGTCGTAAGATTCTATCCGTTTTTTGTCTATCGGTGTACCGTCATCGTTCACCACTCCAGTTGCGTAGAATAATTCGAAAGAATTATCTTAATCGTAAACGTTTAGGAAATCATCTTTCTCGGTTATCTTACCGTACATTAATACAAAGCAAGACGGCGGTTTCCACGGGCGGATGTATGCATTTAATTATGTAATGTCAAGCACACATAGTAGCTAAATAAACGTGCGCGGGAGGAGGCGGGAATGTAGGGTAGAGTTATCGTGGAGCATGGTATAAAGAGAATGGGTTTATGCCCGTGATATTTCAGGAAAACGCCGTGAGATCCGAAGTACTGTACACTTGCGAATTGCGGTGGAGCCCCGAACCAAGGTATAACTACTGCCCGAGGCTGATGCTTCAGCGCCGACTTCGGGCCCCCTAGGTTTGCCAAGCGATCCCACTGTCTTACCTCTTCTCTCTTATACCTCGTCTCGTTGTCAACGGGGTATTTGCCTCTCGCCTTGCCTGCTTTCGAGTGTTGTTCAAGCTGCTCGTTCTTTCTTGATCCACACCCCCAACCCTCTTTTCTCTACTTTCGACGCAACCCTTCCCTATGAGCCTGCGTGCTAATTAATTAAGTACGCTCGAGAGAAACCGTGATTCCGTGACAAGCTACAAGATGAAGCATTCAACGAAGTTTGCTCATTTTTCAAGAGCGGCGACACCACGCTCGCTGGATCACGTTTTAAATATTAAAAGAGCCTTTAGCTCGCTGCGTTCGTCTTACCCGTTCTACGTTTACGGTGTTGTAGAAATTGTCGTGAAATTCCAAATTATGGAGCATCGATTCTCGTACCGATCGATCCGTTGGATTTTCGATTCACGAGACTGTAGGCGGGTTATACGCGTGTCAGGACCAGGAGGGGCGTGTACACGGAAGAAACTAGAATGCGTTACCAGCAAAACCAACCGACACCAGATTTCATTACTGTCACTTAAAGGGTAAGCCAAGCTTAAGCCCCTGCTCCACGAGATCGTACGCCTGCCGCATTAACGTTAAGCTCGGGAGGAGAGGGGGGTTGAACGCAGCAACCCGAACTGGTACGAGCCGAAATACATCTTAGTTTGTTCGATGTGTTTTAATAGGTGAACAACATTAAACGCGACAACGCAGAGTCTGTCTTTTATTCTTCTTTATCGCGAGCGAACCGGTGTGCCGATAACGGTCTTCACCGTGGCGAAACTTCTCCGAGGAATCGAATGAAATCCAAGTAGCACTCGCTCGCGCGCACCCACTTTCCACACCTTGTGGAAATCTGTTATTGGGAAACTTTACACGGTACTTGTTGATATAGGACCACGATCAAGG